ACCCATTTCGGCCCATCTGGCCACAACATTTTGTAGTTCATATCAATGCCCCAAGCCCAGAACTCACCGTTCCAAGTGTTGTATAGATTGTACATGTTGAAGTACGGCGATATGTACGGCTCGACGCTGATTTTTTGAACAGCAGCCGCCCGGAGCACATGACTGCAAGGGTAGCCCTCAAGCTTGGGCTTGTTACAAGTGCACTCACAGGAGGTTGAGCCAAGGGTGACAGCTTGCTTTTTTGATCCTCTGTGGTGACCCTTAACGTACTTGGCTCGCACATTGACCTCCCACTTATTCCTAAGTGCGTCCACTTTCCTGCAGCCATGACTTTGGGACTTCTTTGCTTTCTCGTCCAGATGTCTTTGCATCTTCTCGGACCATGGCTTGTTCAATTCAACTTGTGCTTTGGCGACGGTGACCCTGTCTGCAAAGTATGACAGGGTCCGGTTCCAAGTTTCTTCAATTAGGGCTGTGATAGGCAGTGCTCGCACCCCTTTAAGAACACCATTGTACACCTCTGACATGTTGCTGGTCATTATTCCATACCGAGCCCCGGTGTCGTGAGCCTGTGCCCACTTCTCCAAATGAGGGCAATTCTCGGTGATCCACTGGCTCAAATTTATGACCGTCCTACGACCCCTCCGGTCTTCTCTCTGCGGCAAGGCCGCGCGGTCGATCTCACCATTGATACCTGCCCATATCGCATTCATTTTGGCTACAGTTTTTTGCATGCACATCCTCTTGAATAACTTGAACCAATCCTTGTTTTTGAATTTGGAGTAAAAGTTTGCTGCCAAATGCCTCATGCACCACCTTCCCTCTAGATCGGGTCAGCCCCACTCTTCTTCCGACGCCTTAATTATTTCAAGAGCGCTGAATAATCCAGTGTTGCGATCAGAAATGATGCAAACACCTTTACGCTCTTTCACGACACCCATCTTCACGCAGCTCAGGAACCACAACCAGCTATCTTTGTTCTCGCTCTCGACCAATGCATATGCAATAGGAAGAAGCTGATTATTTGCATCCGCTGCAATCGCCACCAATAGTGTGCCCTTGTACTTTCCAGTGAGAAAGGTACCATCAACAGATAATACCGGGCGACAGTGCCTGAAGGCTTGTATAGTCTGGGCGAATGCCCAGAATAAGCGGTCCAGGATTAGCTCACCCGGGTTCATTGGGTTTGGACGTTCTCTCCGCCAAACTTGAGTCCCCCTATTAGCACTTGCTATTTGATGAAGCATTCTAGGGGCATAAGAATATGCCTCCTCATAGGTACCATACAAGTTCTTAAATATATTTTCCTTCGCATGCCTAGCCTTGCTGTAGCTAACAGGGAATCCAATTAGATCCTCTGCATCTTTTTGTAGAGCCCTAACACTAATGTTGAGACTTCCCTGCACAATTGTTTCCATCGTCTGTGCCACAAATTTTGCTGTCACATTGCAGTGATCTGAAAGAGTCCCAGTTTGCTCACAGGTATGCTCCACTATTTTTGTGATATGCCATGACTGACATACCCCAGGCTTCAGTCTAGCGAGAACTCTTCCGCGGCAACCTTTCGCGGTGTGGATGCATATGACCTTCAACTCTTTTTTATCAGACTGCTTCACTCTATGCTGGCGGTGGATGCCGATTGCATAGCTACCCATTGCCTGGTAAGCAGACTTCTTATCTGGGAAAACTTGCCCAACCTCCAGGCTTCCCGCTCCTAGGCCAGAAGCAGAGTGAAATTCGTTGGTGATGCTCATATCCTGTAAAAACCCAGGTTGCAGTGCCGCCGCGACCGCCCTCTGAGGAGGAACATCTTCTTCTCTGCTTGACTCCGAAGACGCAGAAGAATGATCATCATCATCTAGCGCCTCCGGCAATCCCTCCACGTGTTCGCTCATGTCAACGGCCGCCGACCAATATCCTGTGTCATACACAGGCTGGCCACCCGTCGGTTCCGATGGGCCGATGCTAGGGGCTGATGTGATGGCCAACTCGACCTCACCACCCCTGCTACTGCATCCGGCAACATCAGTGACTGAAATGAACTCCACATACACCATCGGCTGACCATACATTGAGTTATTGGGATTGCTTGCAAACCTCATGTACGACCCCCACGACCGATCACCTGTGACAGGCCGCAAACCCCAACGGGCAACTGTCCCATCATTTCCTCCGTCAACGACGAAGGCCTCCATTGTCATTTTTTTTCCTGCATCACTGGGCCAAACACCGCTCGGATGCACCTTCTAACCGCTGCGTAACCCACGTTGACCATGTTTCTCACCACTACTGTAGTCGACTCGCAGAAGAACACATCCACCCCGCATGGACCGTCGCGTAAGACGTTCCCATAGTACACTACTAAATTTTTCATAGTACCTAACCAACATACATGTTTACATTTCAAATAATTAGTAACTGAACATTTAGTAACGATGACAACATTTACATATCTTATGACTAAAATAATAACCGTATTTTCGTTATAAATATTCGATTTGTTTTTAGAATCATTTGCTTAGACTTTAAGGGGTTGTTTGGTTAACGGGTATTTACAGATCTATTTTTCTCAAACTTGTCTATGAGCGTAACAAACTAAAACTCTGTTTGCTTTTCTCTAACTACCCCAAAAATATCCTAAAATAGTTCTCGTAACATGCAAAAACTTAACTTCTGGAAAAACGACTATTAGTAAAATATGGTTTTCTACATAATTTCCTTACAACAGGTTATGACAAAACTGAGGGTAAGTACTCGCTATTCAAACAACCACTAAACATAATATTACGATAATAACATTTAAATATCATATGAGTGTCATTTTTCTTACAACAGGTTATGTCAAACTATTTTTCTTACAACATGTTATGACAAAACCCATGGTAATTACTCGCTATCCAAACAACCAGTAAACATAATAGTACGATAATAACATTTTAATATCATATGAGTAAAACATTTAGTTTCTTTCGGCTTTATATAATTTTTTTCACATCATACGATAACAATCATTTATCTACAAATAATAATATTTACAGCAACATGCACATTATTCACAATAGTACATCAATACAAAAAATATTAACAAAATTACAGTATCATTTTTTTACCTTAGCTTCAATATAGATGTGCTTGCAAATGCAATTAAGCGTCAAAATAGTTCCAATAAATATCCGTCGCCAGTACTATATGAACGGAGTCAACCTGTTATCACATTAACATCAATATTACACACGGATTTTTCTTCCAGCTAACAAAATGGAAACACAATTTCTTCAATCATGTCTTCTCCTCCTTGTTTGTTACTAAGATGAATTATTTTACCTAATTACATACATCATTAAGTACATTAGCACCTAATCTTAACATATAAAATTTAGATTATTGCGACATAACTATAGACTTATTAATAAACATACCGCATAAAATAACATACCACATGAAATAACATACCACATGCAATAAAAAATATTGTAAATGTTGTATCTGTCGTCTGAAATTATTTCTAACCTCTACGCACTAACATAGCATAGCTAATGACGAGCTAAAAGACTAACTAATTACCACCCCGCATGCACAAATAAATAAATGTATTGCAAAGCTCATACCTTGATCTTCAACTTCGTACTTCACTTTTCGCAACGCAAATCCTACTCCTCAAGCTCTAAATGACTCCAAATGACTCCTTCAAGTGCTAAAATTATGCCTAAAACAACAGAGAATACACACTTAGGAACTAATAAAACAGAACAAAAACATCATGCATGTGAACGAAACCAACAAAAATGGATAGATCTTACCTTAATCTAACTTTTCTTCAACTTCATCATCTTCGAAATCAAACTCCAAATCGACCAAAATCACGAGTAAAAGTGGCTACCTAGTTTTCCTTTCTGTCTATGTATGCGCTCAGAGAGAGTTAAGAGGTAGAGGAGGCAACCAGAGATATGCGAGAGAGAGTGTATGCGCACGGAGTCGCGGATGTGCGTTTAAAAAGAAGAGGACCACTGTATTGTCGGCAGAACAAACCAGAACTCACCTACCACGGCATCGGATTTCAGCATCGCGGTGTCTCATCATACGCAGCAACAACAACGCCTGAATGCTGTCGCTTCGGCTGGAGAAATAGACGGAAGCGAGAATCACGCATAGCTTTAATCAGTGTCGTTTACGTACCAATCAGCACTACAAAGTTTAGGCGGGAATCCGATCATCGAAACTTGTGGCAGGCAAAACAAGGAGCTGGGAAAAGCAGCGCCCGTGAAAATCTGCGCCACCGGAATCAGCGCCGCACGGGAATCAGCGCCGTCTGCGCCGTTGTCGCGTGTGCAGCAGCAGTGTCGCCGCCTCCTGCAGTGGCGGCCTGGCCCACAGGCGGGGCCGGCGAGCATCACGAGTGGTCGGCCCGCGCCCGACAGCGGCCAGAGAGGCCGCCTCACTAGGTGGCGGCGTGGCCCACCAGGCCTGGCCGTTCCGTCCGGGCTCGGCGCACTGTGCTGACACGGTTATTTCTCGCGCGGCCGCCTCTGGCGGTGGCGGCCGGGCCCGCCGCCTCATCCGGTGGCGGCAGGTGCCACGTGTCGCCTGCCGCGCCTGCCGCCACCGCTGAGGGGGTCCTTTTTAACAATGTTTTTGACATGTGGTCTTTTTTGGCAATTCTGTTGGCCAGGGGGTCCTTTTGGACAAAAAATCCCCATTCAAGTTCTTATGAGATAGAAAGTACACATAGGGTCAGGAAAATGTCACCTACCATGCATATTCATTGGATTAAGATGTAGACAGACCGGCCCAGTGAGTCGACAAACAATGTTAGCATGCTCCAATTGGGATTCAGGTTAATCCGATTACATCAACTATACTAGGAATCTAAAAACAGATAAGCTTTTCGAAGAAGCCCCTGAGCAAGGGGGCAGAGCTAGCTAGAGTAGGGCGTGCTGATTAGAGATCTACACTACAGAGCTCAGACGAGGGCCATAGCAGAGCCACACTACATAGTAGAACTACACTACAGAGCTGCTTTGGCGCCTCTCACGGCGACAAACAGTACATGCCAGCACCGTATGGATTGCAAAGTAGCCCAGCACAGCAAAGATGAGTGCGACGACAAACAGGGATGTCTTCAACCCCCTGTTGGAGCCGGCTGCATAGGCCACTAGGAGAGCAAACAGATCCAGTCGGATCATCCAGTTCATCACCCTCAGCGACCATTTCTCCCATTCTCCTTCTTTCTTCTTTGGCAGCCATTGCGGTAGCAACATGATGATGACAACGATGGAAGCCACAAAGGAAATGGAGTTGCTGTAGAAGAAGGTGAGGTACCGGGGCCTCCTGTTGTCGTTCATCACCGGGTTGCCTGCCTCGTACCCGTTGTCGTTGTTCTGCCACGCCCCGCCAGGCGGTTCCAGGCCGGCCTGGTAGGCTACGCTCGCCACCAAGATGCCTAGCAGCATCAGATACTTGCGCCTCGCATGCTTCTTCGCTTCTTCTTCATCCTCATTCTTTTCTTCTACCTCCTTCTTCCTTTCTTCTTCGTTCTGTTCTCTTGGTGGCGCAACTACCACATTGCTGAGCTTTCTCTTCAGCAAAAATACCAGCAGCAGTCCGGCTGCAATGAGCAGGACCACAGCCACCAACACGAAGATGTAGATGGATGTCTTGCGGTGTTGCGTGCTTCCAGCGGCGTAGGCCCCCATCAAACAAAACAAGCCCACGGCCGTGCAAACGGATAGTGCATTGCTTTGTATGGCTGGCCTGTACAGATTCGGGTTCACCAGGAGGATGATGAGGCCGATGGACAGCATGAAGCTCACCGAGTTGCAGTAGAAGAAGGCATGGTAGCGGACTGGGTAGTTGTGCAAGAGGATCGGGTCACCGGCATGGTGCCCGAGCGTGTCGTCCTGGAGAAGAAACCCGCCAGGAGGGGTGAGGCCGGCTTGATAGGTGATGGTTGCAGCCAAGATCGCGAACAGGAGCAACCGTTTGCGCCTCTTCTCCAGCAACTCATCTTCTTGATCGTCGTCTTTCTTGTCCTTGTGGTCCAGCTCCAGCGTGAAGAAGACAATATGGATCACCACATAGATCAGGGCAGCGCCTGCCAAAGCCATGACATAAATGGAGGAATTCACGTCCCGACAGCTCCCGGCGGCATATGCGCCGATGAGGCCAAACAGGTCGAGTATCATGGCTGCCTCCAGCACGTGGTGCTTGATCAGCCTCTCTGTCTGGACAAGGACGATGACCAGCAAGGAGGCTACGAACGCAACCGAGTTGCAGTAGTAGAAGGCCCTGTACCTCCCAATGTTCGTTGTGATTAGAATCGGGTCGCCGGCCATATGCCCGTGGTCGTTGTCCTGCCAAACGCCACCTGGCGGGTCCAACCCCGCTGTGTAGGTGATGGTGGTGGCAAGAGTGGCGAGCAGTAGAACAAGAGAGCGAGCCTTGTCCAGACCCTTTCTACGACTGCGGCCAAAGAAGAAACAGAGTTCAGTTCAGTCGCGAAGAAACAGAGTTCAGTTTAGTTCAGTTGCATAGAATGAAGAACCAGAGTTCAGTTCAGTTGCAGAGTAACTGCAAACAGTACCTGATATTATCATTAGTCTGCTGAAGTGCATCCGTTTGTTGCGTTGGACTGGAACGAGAAGACTTTAAAGTGTAGAAAGCATAGAGTAGGATGTATGCCATTGCCAAAATACCGCCGGCCAGGGAGACCACGTAGATGGTGGTTTTTGTCTCCCTGCAGCTGCCAGCGGTGTAAGCGCCGACAAGGCTGACTAGCGCGACGACGATGAACCCATAGAGCACGAGCGACCGAACGGTCTTCTCGCGGAGCTTCTTGCCGTCGATGATGAGCAGCATGATGATGACCAGGGACGCCACGAACGCCGTGGTGTTGCAGAGCAGGAACACCGTCAGGCGTGGGCGGTGGTGGTCCTTGAGGATTGCATCGCCCGGGCGGTAGCTGGCCCCGGTGCTGTCCCAGAAGCCACCCGGTGTGCTCAGCCCGGCGATGTATGTGACGCTCACCGCGAACGTCGCCAGGAGCATCAGGACCTTGCGGAGCCGTTCGTCGGCTTTCAGCTTCTTCAGGACCTCACGTTCGCGATCCTCTTTTTCTTTGACATTGGGGTCAGAATCGCGGATGGGGGAGCGAATAGTGACGGCGTCGGAGTCAGGATCAGGAGTGGACATCATGCCGCCGGAGCTGGAGTTGCTGTTGGTGGCGGTCATTGTGCCGCCGGAGCCAGGGTCGGAGCTCTTGTCTGGACAATACCAGTCCATCATCTTGAGAACGGCGACATAGAGGAAGATGGCGGCCACCAGCACCGCGGAGTAGACGATGGAGATCTTGTCCTGGCAGGTGCCGGCGCCGTACGCGCCCATCAGGCTGAGCAGGTCCAGCACCATGACCAGCCGCAGGGGCACGACGACCCAGCGGCTGTCCTTCCCCTTCTTGTCGTGGCGGGCGGCGAGGCGGCGAGGACGAGGATGAGGACGATGACCACGAGCGACGCGACGAAGGCGGTGGCGTTGCAGTAGAAGAAGGCGAGGTAGCGGCGGTAGTGGGTTCCGCGGATGATGGGGTCGCCGGCGGGCTGGCCGTCTTGGGCGGTCTGCCAGACGCCTCCCGGCGGGCTGAATCCCGCGGCGTAGGTGACGGTGACCACCAGAGCGGCCAGCAGCAGGAGGTACTTCCGCAGGCTGTACTCCCATGGCTGCACCGGCGGCTTTGCCGGCTGGCCGGGCTGATCCGTTGGCGCTGCCGGCTGCACCTGCACGGCGGAGACGCCACCACACTCCATTCTCTCACTCAACGGCTGTGGTTCGCTTCCTGTTCTTACTCTGATTATTGTGATGCAGACTCCCGACTGGCGAATGGTTTCGTCGTGATTATATAACTAACGACGACTTGACTCGGCGCGTGCGCGTCGTCGGGGCGAAGGCGCCACATGCGGACGGACGGACGTCAGCGGTCATCGGAGAAAGTGAAGCAAGGAACCAAAGTCTTCTCCGGTCAAATAAACTAAGCTATTCTTGCCTAGCTTTTTGAGATGAAGCCGATCGGAAACATCGTGGTGACCAGAGTACGCGTTTGCGGTTTTGGATGTCTTCGTGTAGATCATCCTTGGACAGATGCTGTTCGGCCTGGTCATGATTCTCTTCTGTTGTTTTTACTACTACGACAGCCTTCCTTGTCCTAGGTGTTATTCCCTCCGTAAACTATTATAAAAATGTTTAGATTACTATTTTAGTGATCTAAACGCTCTTATATTAGTTTACAGAGGGAGTACTTGGATATTTTCTCCATTCGTGTGTTCTTTGGATCCTCCATCTCATTTCTCCTTATTATAGGTATATATATACAAACCAGGTCTTTCTCTTCTTTTTTTTCTTAATCATTGTGATGCAGAATGGCGGATGCCATGGCAGCGACGGGTGAAAAATCTAGAGTGGTGCGATTGTGTACTGCGAAGTACAGTAAATGAAAAAGACTTGGTCGTCACGAGTCGTCGGGAGAAGCTGCTGAGCCTCTATCATAAAAGGTACTGTATGACAGAGCCGTCGAGGAAGGGAAGAAGCAACAAGCCAACGAGCAAGTCTGCCGCAGCTGAATGCAGGTTTTATATCTAGGAAGAAACCATTTGCATCCGACAGAGCCGGCTGTGACGTGATGTGTGGTCATGTTGAGTACGTCAGCGGAATTCGTCATGAAATGGCGTCGGGTGAGCATCCTATGCAAACATTCTTCCTCGACCGGTCGATCAATCTAAAAAAGAAACGGTTTGGCCCTGTTATCATACTTCCATGCCGCACTAGGCGCATCTTAAACGGCAACCCGTAATTTTTTTCTTGCATCCGTTGCTGGACAGAGGGGCAATCCACGGACACGGATCCAACCATAACCGTATACATTTCAAACTCTTTTTCAACAAACCGGATGAAATTCGTGCAAACAAGGCTGGATTTTATCTAAACATGACGGATTTCATACAAACATGGCTAATTTTCATTACATTTCGAACATTTAGAAAAAAAGACCTGATCCTAAACCTATCCTACGGCGGCGGCGGCCGATGTCTAAGCCCATATCATCCTCCATAGATGATCAGTAAATATGAATGGCGGATCTCAAAGCAATTATAGACGGTGGATCCATGCACGAGATGGCAGAAAATTCACTCTCGGTGTCTTGCTCGAATCGGCTTGTTTGGGCCAACCTATAGAGTTGTGGTTGTCGGCGAGCAACATATACAGTGTTTTTGGCTCCTGGGTGTACATATATGGAGATGATCAGTAAATTATTAAAGAGTAGCAATAAAATTCAAAATAAAATGATTTTTTTGACAAACATTGATGAATGTTTCACCCGTGTGCAACTTTTCGTGAAAAAAAACACATTTGTAATGTTGTAGGCCAAAAAAAAGTGATGCTTCAAACGACTATTTTTTAAAGCATTTTAGCGCATTGGTTTTTTTTCCAGACCTCCATGAATGGCATTCAATCACGGAATAGGTACAAAACTAAGCAACAATTGTTATTAAAATATCATTTTTCTTCATTTTTCTGTGTTTTTAAAATTTCCTGTTGACAAAGAAAGTATTTAAGCTCAGGTGTAGAATGACACTTTCGGGCGAGCTACTCCCTGACTATAGAGAGGGAACGAGAACGGCTATGAGAACGAAGGAAATGATTTTTTTTTGAAACCGGCAAAAGATTTGCCGCACATATTAATTAAGAAGGATAAGAATGTTTTGTAACAAGCCCGCAAAGTTAGGGACCATCATTCCAGGAGAACGGAGGAAATGATAATCTGTGGGGGGATTGAATGCAGGAGTTTAGAGCCTAAGTCACACCATCTGTTGTAGCTTATGTCGTCATTCCTTGGCTAATTTGTTATAAATTTTACCTAAAAGAGAGAATAAGATCTCTCCGATTCTACTACCAGTACTCATTCGAGACCATACGGTATACTGGGACTGAAATGGCACATCTAATATCTGTTCTCTCCACAACTCCATTTTTTAAAATACATATTTCTCTTTCCAACAGTTGCCAAATGTATCGTGTTAGTGAGATTAGACGTCTTCTGGCTCACGAAAGAAACGTTAGCCGCGAACGTGGCGACTCATTCCCTTGAGTCTATAGGTCGCTCGCAACGACGTACTGCGTGCTGTCTTCGTAATTGCCCTATGGAGATAGCTAGCGTAGTTGACTCGGATTGCAATCACTATGCTTGATTAATGAAAGTTTCTTTCCCGTAAAAAAACCCGTACTTGTAGTTCGCTTCTAAGAACTACACGTGTTTTGAGGTTAACTTTGACTATCAATTTAAGCAACACAACATTAGTCATATAAATCATATTTTAGAGATGTTTCTAACGAGAAACTTTTTTTGAGTTTTTTTTTGCGAATAACCTTTTAGGCTTATAACACATAGCTCACATATTCATTTTCATTACATTGATGGTCAACATAAATCTCAAAATACCAAGAAGGTACTAAAAAGTTCAGTCTACATCCATGCTTGCTTTTGCTTGACATGTTTAATAATACTAAATCGTAGGAGAGCATGCTATCTGCCGGACGGCCGCATGCATAGCCATGTCACAAAATCTGCTACTATGTATTTGTACCACTGTAAGTACTCCCTCCGGTCTTTTTAGTTTGCATATAAGATTTGTCTGTAGTCAATCCTTATAAAGTTTAACTAACTTTATAGAAAAAAAATACCAACATTTACTATGTGAAATCAATACCAGTAGATGGGTCATGACTTAAAGTTTCATATTGTATAACTTTTGCATGATATATGTTAATATCTTTTTTATATAAATATGGTCAAACTTTGTAAAGTTTGACTCCAGACAATTCTTATATGCAGAGTAAAAAGGACCGGAGGGAGTACATTTTATGTTCGTGCCATTATTAATCGATGTAGAGTCCGTTCTTATCTTAAAAAACAGTTTGTTGCTCCAGTTTGGATAATTTATAATGGTGAAAGAAGATGAACTACTACCGGTTTGTTTCTGAATGCCACTGTCCACACGAGACGCAGCAGCGCGGGAAGCGAGCCAGGAGCCAAGGCGCCGCTCCATCTCTCATGGGATCGCCGGCGACCGCCCGCCCCGACCTGCACCTGGGCAGCGCAGCACTGCGCCTGGCCTTCTTCTGCCCATGGCGCAGAAGATCGCAAGGAGGGACTGATGCTAAACCAGCTGGATTCGAGCCGCACCTGCATTCGCCCCTCGAGTAGCTGCTTCCGGTCGAGGCGACCCACGCCACGCTCGAGGAATCCTCTCCAGCCAAAATGGCGCCAGGCTCTGATGCTCCATGGTAACCACGCTACTCACGACGGCGGCCTGCTCATCTCACTTGCCCGCTCCTGCATCCGGGGTCGGGCGCCCTGCGGGTGTTCGGTGAAATGCCCCACCAGGGAGATTGCGCCGCTGGCGTCCGATACCCCCCCTGGATTCAAGGTGTGTTTCCTCTCGATCAGTGATTACTAATTATCAGGATTGCACAATGCTTTAGACCATACCAAGTGACATTAGTAGTAACAAATGCTTCAGTTTCCGGAATACAAATGTTGTTGCAATTCATGCGCGTCCATTCAACTTCTTATGAGACAGAGAATGCAGATAGGGTCAGGAAGTCGACAAACAATGTAAGCATGCTCCAACTGGATGCAGGTTAATCATCCGATTACATCAACTAGAGTGGGAATCTAAAAAGAGGGAAGCAGAGCTAGCTAGAGCAGGGTAAGCTGATTAGAGATCTAGAGGCAGGAAGAAATAGATAGATCACAGCTAAGATGAGCAATTGCCCTCACATAGTAGAGCTACGCTGCAGACGTGCCTGGGGTCTTCTCACGGCCGCGAACAATATATGACAGCATCATATGGATTGCAAAGTAGCCCAGCACAGCAATGATGAGCGTGCCGACATAAACAGACGTTTTCCACCCCCTGCTTGAGCCAGCTGCATAGGCCACTAGGAGAGCAAACAAATCAAGCCGGATCGTCCAGTTCATCACCCTCAGCGACCATTTCTCCCATTCTCCTTTCTCCTTTGGCAGCCATTGCGGTAGCAACATGATGATGACAACGATAGAAGACATAAAGGAAATGGAGTTGCTATAGAAGAAGGCAAGGTACCGGGCCCTCCTGTTGTCATGCATCACCGGGTTGCCCGCCTCGTACCCGTCATTGTTGCTTTGCCACGCTCCACCCGGCGGTTTCAGACCAGCCTGGTAGGCTACACTCGCCACCAGGATGCCTAGTAGCATCAGGTATTTGCGCCTCGCGTGCTTCTTCCTTTCCTTCTTCTTTTCTTCTACCTCCTTCTTCCTTTCTTCTTTATCCTCATTATTTTCTTCTATCTCCCCCTTCCTTTCTTCTTTATCTCCGTTATTTTCTTCTACATGCTTCCTTTCTTCTTTGTTCTGATCGGTGAGTTGCCCTTTTTCTGAATCACTGTCATTTCTATTCAGCAGCAAAAATACTAGCAGCAGTACGACTGCAACGACGAGAACCACAGCCACCAACACGAAGATGTAGATGGATGTCTTGAGGTGTTGCGTGCTTCCGGCGGCGTAGGCTCCCATCAAACAAAACAAACCCACCGCCGTACAAACAGATAGCGCATTGCTTCGTATGGCTGGCCTGTACAGATTGGGGTTCACCAGGAGGAGGATGAGGGCGATGGACAGCATG